AACCCCCTTCCCCGCCCCGAGTGGAGAGACCGGGCAGATGCCAGGCATGCCTTTCACGGTTATTTTTATTTTGCACGGGAAACCATGGGAACACAGCAAAGACAAAGCATTTCTTCCACCTGCGAGAGGAACAGACGTTGGGCACAGGGGTCCCTTCGGGGAGGTGGAGCCTGCGAAGTTGGACTGTGTGCCAGGCACCACCGTGAGCAGTGTGCAAGGCCTAGGGGCTGACTGCAGATTTAGGGGCGCCGTTGTGAGATGTGGCGTGAGTGGGATGGGAAAGCCTATTTAGGGGAGCCGACCCTACGCGCAGCAGTGATTAACAGACCAATATGGGGCACAGGGGCACTGCACTCCGAGCCACCTCAACACTCTGCTGTCTCCTGCTCCCTGGAAGTCTCCAGACTGAAAAGCACGCCTCTGTCCCTTGTTTTTGGAAATCCGCCTTGTCTGCTGGAGGGCAACGAGAAACGCTACTGGTTAGTGCCCGTGGAGATGAATTACAGGGATCGAAGCCATTGGACCGGGGACACGCAGGCGTAGGATCTGGAAACAGTTCTCGGGCTCCAGACAAACAGCTTTGTCACCGGAAGTCAGGAGGAAGACTGACCCCATAACCACTTTCTGAAGGGCAGCCTAGAACTGCAGTGTCCCGAAAAATACAAGGCAGTGTGTTCTCAGGGACTGCTGGATGGAGCAGCCCTCTGTAAGGAGAACGTGCAGTGGAGTGAGGCGCACCTGAGTTCAAGTCCCAGCCCCACCCTTCCCAACTGGGTCACCTGGGGAAGGGGGACCGACCGTTCCCACCCTCAGGTTCCTCACCCGTGACATGGGAACGGCAACTCCGGACTCCCAGGATCATTGAGAGAAAAGTATATACAGCATCAGCCTCGCAGCTGTCCAGTAAGGCACGTCCCTGAGGGCAGTGACGTTGATTTTGTGCTACCCTGTCGAACCGTACATGGAAGCCAAGAGTGACTGGTATGAATTTTAGCTCCGTAAAAAAACCGGCTGCGCGCCCTCGCTGGGCCTTCCTCCATAAGCTGGCTGGATTAGTTTTCTCGGGCTAATGTAACAAAGCACCCCAAACTGGGGGGCTTAAAGCCACAGAAATGTGCTCGCTCACAGATCTGGAGGCCAGAAGTTCAAAATCAAGGTGTCCTCAGGGCTGCACTCGGTCCAAAGGCTCTAGGGGAGGATCCTGCCTTGCTCTGTTCAGCTGCTGGAGCAGCCGGGGTTCCTTGACTTACGGCTGTGTCCCCCCAGCCTCACCACAGTCACAGTGTTTCTGGCCTCCTCTGTTCTGAAGCGCCCTCTCCTTTCTCTTATGAGGACACCAGTGTTAGGATGTGGGGCCCACCCTCACGCAGCATGACCTCATCTTACCTGCAGGGACCCTGTTTTCACACAAGATCACATTCTGAGGTTCCAGACGGACCTAAGTTTGGGGGAATGCTCTTCTACCCAGTCCACTTGCCGATAACATAAGGATCGTGGGCCGTGGGAGGCCAGCAATGTGGCAGTGGTTTGCAAGAGTGGGGGGCTCTGCAGCCAAGACTGCCTGCGTTTGAGTCCCGTAGCACCACTGACCAGCCGTGTGGCCTGGCGTGAGTCTGCCAGCCTTTGTATACCTCGGGTTGCTTTGGTTCTACAGTGGGGACAACAGGAATCCCATTGCAGAAGGCATTCCGAGGATAAAAGGAACTAAGTACAGTGTAGAACAGATTCTTCTAGAAGGAGAGTCTGATGTGAGGATTCCTGTGCCCGTGATTTATGAAGGGAGCACCCCCAGAGGAGACCGTTGGGGGGTCGAGGAAGTAGGATAGGGAAGTGGGGGGAAGCACGCAGCAAGGGTGGGACTTGGGCAGAGCCTCCGGAGGGCTGTGAGCTCTGGAGTGTGACACTAACTTTCCTGCCCTTCGAGCCCGCCAGCCTAGTGGCCCCCAGTGCCTGGTCAGTGGCAAAGGCACATTGAAAAGGGGTGCGGGTGGACATAGGGACCCAAGGGCATTGGCGCACCATAATTGTCCCCGCCACAAGCACTCAGCCCCGTCACTGCCTGCGGCAGGCGCCCAGTAAATGTTAGCTGTCCTTTTCGTCCTCATCCCGTATGGAAGGCACCTTTCTGGTTCTGATGGGGTCAAGAGCACATCGGTCTGGTATCAGGACACCTGCATTGCAGCTCCCCCCACGTGGCTACTGACGAGCAGTGAGGTTTGGGGCAAGTGGCTCAGTCTTCTTGGGACATTTTTGTCTTTAGTGATCAAGGGGTGCAGACAGTATGGGTATGTGGGTGGTGGTTGTTTGGTCTTAAAAAAAATAACCTGGGGCGCCTGGGTGGCTCAGTTGGTTAAGCGACGGACTTCGGCTCAGGTCATGATCCTGGAGTCCCGGGATCGAGTCCCGCATCGGGCTCCCTGCTCAGCGGGGAGTCTGCTTCTCCCTCTGCCTCTGCCTCTCTCCCTCTCTCTCTCTCTCACTCTCATGAATAAATAAATTTAAAAAAATAATAATAAAAAAAAAAGTTCTAGAACACAGTGAAGGCCAAACAAAATGTGTGTGGGGGCCAGGCTGGGCCCAAACTTCCTGGTGAACTCCTACACATTCGTCAAGACCCCATGCACAGAGACCGCATCTGCAGTAACGGCTTCCATGATCCTTCCCAGTTAGAGTTTGATGTCCTTGCTCCTCTCTTATCATCTGACCCTGTAAGTTTTCCTCTGCGTGTCTCTTCCTTCCACTCCCACCGGATTCATCTCATCAGCTCAGTGCCCAGCAGGCACAGAGTTGATGCTCGATGAATGTTGAATGTTTATCGAGACATCCAGTGTTTACTGAGACAGCCATGTATTCATTGAATATTCATTACAGACCTTCAGGGATGCTCTGTGGCTAACCCGGGCGGGGGAAGAGAAGGGATCCAGTGCTAGTGAGCGCTGCTGAATACCAGCTACTTGCTCTGCACGGCCTTGGGTAGAGGACCCCGTCCGGCTATGCGGCTCTGTAGGAGGTGGACGCCGAAGACGAACCCTGAGGACACAGCACCCCCTGAAGGTGTGGCATCAGCAGGTGCCTCGAGTACCTTCTTGGGACGTTATATCGTCCAACATTTCCTCCCCTACTTCTTGGGTGGGAGCCCCACTCCACTGCCCATCTGTCAGGCGTCCATTTTCTGCTGCAGCCACGTCCCTCCCCTGCTGGGTGACTCTTCTGTCACCTGATCTGCCCTGGTGGGTGGTGTCTCCTTTCAAGTGTCCTTTCCCAGAACAGCCCATTCTGACTCCCAGGACACAGGCATCTCGGCTCTGCCTTCCTGGGTCCTTCAACGTCCTGGCCTTGTGTCACCATCTGGGTCAGAGTGCCTTTCTCCCTGTGCTGCTGTGGGGGTTTGGGGGGGGGGCTGTGTCTGTATTTCAATCCCATATTCCCCTGTTCCAGAGCTTCACCACTGTTGTCCTGAACTTGTGTCCACTCCTTCCAGTGGATGATGGGATACTGGCGGTTCAAGGGTGTCAGGAACGCCGGGAGAGTATGGGCCACCTGCAGATCTGGCCAGCTGACCTGGGGGCAGCTTGCAAGAACTTCCTTGCTTTCAAAAAATGGGAAAAAAAAACACCAGAGTTGGCAAGGATGTGGATAAGGTGGAACCCTCCTCCGCTGCTGAGTGAAAAGTAGGGCAGCCGCTGTGGAAGACAGTTCGGCCGTTCCTCAAAGAGCGACACACAGAGTCACCATGTGACCCAGCAGCTCCACCCCTAGGTACCCACCCGGAGGAACTGGGAGCAGGTGTTCAGACAAATCCTTGTGCACAGATGTTCGTGGTAGTACTATTCACACCAGCCAAAAGGTGGAAACTGCCCAAATGCCTATCAGTGGATAAAGGATACATAAAACGTGGCATATCCATACATGGGAATAGTATTCAGCCATTGAAAGAAATAGAGCCCTGACTCCCTACAGCATGGATGAACCTTGAAAACATGTTAACTGAAAGAAGCCAGGCACAAGAGGAAACATACTGTACGATTCCATTTATTCGAAATGTCCAGAAAAGGCAAATCCATAGAGACAGAACGCAGATGGTGGTCACCAGGGGCTGGGGTGGGAGGGATTAGGGAATGACTGTTAATAGGTATGGAGTTTCCTTTGGGGGAGATGAAAATGTTCCAGAACTAGACAGAGGTGGTGATCGCACAACGTTGTGAATGTACTAAATGCCACTGAATTGTATATTTTAAAATGTCAATTTTATGTTAAGTGTATATTATTACCACAGTTTGGGTTTTTTTAGGAAAAAAAAAAACCTTCTTGCTGTGAGAAAGAGGGAGGACAGGGTTTGGGTCTGGCCTGGGGCAGGTGATTTAGCATGGTAGGATCCATCTGAGTGACCTGCGTGGAAGAGAAATGCCCTGCATCTCACACCTGCTATGCTCCTACCTGTCCCCCGCCCTCCCCCCCCCCGGGCTCCCACTGACCTCCAGAGCACAGATGCCCTTAGCCTTGGGGGAGGAGAGGGCTTGACCAGAAGGCCAGTAACACGTGGGAAAACTTATGTGACTTAATGCCAGATGAAAAAGGAAGAGAGGGGCGCCTGGGTGGCTCAGTCGGTTAAGCG